ACACACACAGGTACTGTCTGAGAGAGAGACACACACTGGTACTGTCTGAGAGAGAGACACACACTGGTACTGTCTGAGAGAGAGACACGCACTGGTACTGTCTGAGAGAGAGACACGCACTGGTACTGTCTGAGAGAGAGACACGCACTGGTACTGTCTGAGAGAGAGACATTCTTCCCTAAATTCAGAAATCTAATCCCAGAGTTTCCACACCTGCCAGGATCACAACGGGTCCCAATCCTACTGGGAGAGGGAGAAGGGAACTCAATTGAACTGGCAGCCCAGTATGTGACCTCCTGTCACAGCCTGAGGAACAGTGAGTCCGTCTCCCAATAATGCTCCATCTGTCTACAGTATATGTAAATATTTTATGATATGTCGTTGTTGTAAATGTTTGTAAATGTCTGTAGATTTTATTTTACTTTTATTTTTTGTTTTGTTTCATGTGAATTTCATTATTTTTATTTGCTTTGGCAACACTGATTGTACCCATCGGTCATGCTAGTAAAGCACCTTGAATTGAATTGAGAGACACACAGGTCCTGTCTGACAGAGAGAGACACACAGGTCCTGTCTGACAGAGAGACACACAGGTCCTGTCTGAGAGAGAGAGATACACAGGTACTGTCTGAGAGAGAGAGATACACAGGTACTGTCTGAGAGAGAGAGATACACAGGTACTGTCTGAGAGAGAGAGAGATACACAGGTACTGTCTGAAAGAGAGACACACAGGTGCGGTCTTGCTGCCATTCACACAGGGGACTCTTGTGTTTCAGGAAGCAGATGCTGGAGGCCAGCACACAGCACGAGAAAGAACTGTCTGCTCAGCTAGCTCAGTTCAGGACAGAGCTGCAGGAGAGGGAGGAGAAGCTACGCAAGCTGACCGAGGACTACGAGAACAAGTACTTGCATTAATGACTGACTGTCTGACCAAATGACTGTGTGGATGTCTGACCATACGACTATATGACGGACTAATTCAGTCTGACAAACTGTGTGACTATCTGACTGTGTGACTATCTAACTGTTGGACTATCTGACCATCTGAATGTGAGAGTGACTGACCATCTGGCAGTGTGATTGAGTAATCGTCTGACTATCTGACAGGTGTGGAGGTTCAACCATCTGTCCATGCAACTGACTAACAATAACACAGACTAACATTCTGCCCTGGGAATGTCTGATCTGTGGTTATCTGACCATCAGACTGTCTGACAGTGTGACTGTTTGACTGTCTGACTTTATGACAGACTAACTGTCTGACAGTGACCGTCTCTATGTCTGTCTCTACTCTATCCGTGCGTCTGAGTTTTATCTCCTGTCTGCAGGTTGTCCCAGAAGCAGGAGGAGGTGTTGAGGGTGGAGGCCGCAAGGCGGAAACTAGAGATCCAGCGGACAGAGCTGGTGTCGAGACTGCAGGGCCTGCTGCGCTCCCATTGGGCCGAGGCCCTGAAGCTGCTGGCTGCTCAGAGCACCCCCCACAGTCAGGTGTGTGTAAATGCAGCAAAAACAGTGTTGCTTAGCAGACACAACAGATAAACCTTTAACATCTCATGGGCAAGATATCGGGTGCCTCAGTAGATTTAAGATTCTGTGTTCTTGTGAATTGTCATACTAAAGCTGTAACATTTTATGATGAGTAAATATGATAACATGCATTTTTCTGTGGGATATTACATCTCATACCCAAAACAGATTACATCACTGATGCCCGATTACATCACTGGCACTGACACGTCTGCAGCATGGACCTGGGCCTCAGTCCTCTGATGCATTCAGCAGGGTGGGATCTGTAATAGAGTTTGTTTTTTAGAAAACCTGATGAGACTATAGCTTGACATATCAAAATAGCTAAGACATGTTGCATCAACAAAAACAAAAACATGAGCCAGAGGTCACAGGTGGAAACTATGCAAAACGACATTTAAAACCGTGGACCGGAGGCACTTCTTTACCCAAATAGTTGTAGGAGTGTGGAGCAAGCTCTCCCACCCCTAAGGGCTGGACAACTCATTGTAGCCAAAAACCCTCACCTGATTGTCTTTTGGGGTGAACCCAATAGGGTGAACATGCAGAGTCCACACAGATGGGTGTCTGAAGGGGGCCTCAAAAGAGAGACTTTGGAGACATGAGGTGCCCTGACCGTGGTCCTGGGTGCCCTACAAATTCCTGACAGCGCTAGATCTTACACTGTACTGCAGTGTCTTCACCTGCAGGCTGCGGACAGGAGCCAGAGGTCAGGCACGAGCTCTGTGCAAGCTCCTGATTCGCTGCTGAGCAGCTCCAGCGAGCAGGATGACAGAAACGCAGTTCCTGTTGCCCTTGTGCCCTCTGCCCTTTCACGACCACTACCTAGACGCACCCAGATTGAATTTTGTGGGGTGTGAAGAAAGAAATGTCGCGTAAATTACACTGAGCTGATGTTCTCATGTCAGGGAGAAGAGTCCCGATCTGACCCGGCCCAGCTCCTGTCTTCTGAGTCCTGGCTGTGGGACAGACTGGATTTGCAGCCCGGCAGGCCTCTGGGAGAAGCGGAGGTCCAGGAGCTAAAGAGGTCACAGAGTGCGGAGAAGACTGGGCCCCGCTCAGCTCTGCTGGCTGCATCATCAGACAGGACAGGGGCCATCAGCTGGGAGAGAGAAACAGGTACAGCAAGCCAGGCGAGACCTTTCCTCTCCTGCTATGTCGTTTTCTCTCGCATCTCCCTCCCTCCCTCTTTACCATTCACTCCCTAATTTCACTCTTTCTTCCTCTTTACTTTCAGTACTGTGTTGTGCAGCGCCTTTTTTGAATTCATCTCTCTCTCTCTGTGTTTTTCCCCAGTGGGTTTCCCCAAGGCGATCCCTCTCCATGCCACAGTGCAGCTCTCCCTGCCCACCCCAAGGGAAGGGCAGAGATGTGGAGGAGTCGCTCCAGACTCTGCAGGAGGTCACATCAGCAAAGCAGCTCCCCCTACAGCAGGCCTCCTGCATACCTCCCAGGACCTCAGCTTTCTTTTGTCTCACTCCCTAGCCAATCAGAGCTTCCACCCACTTTCCAGTACCAATCAGAGCTTACACCCTCTCTCCCCAACCAATCAGAGCCTTCAGCCCCTTGCCACCACCAATCAGAGTTTCCACACTCTCTCTCCCACCAATCAGAGCTTCCGTCCTCTGGAGCCACACCTGGACGACACAGTTCATACAGGTGAGTCGCAGCCCTGTGTACTAAACACAGGTTTATTCAGAGTACACTCTCTTTCCACACTTATTCACACACTTTTATCCTGAAAACACACACTTTCACACTGAAGAAATACCTATAAAACACACTTGTCCAGCTGAACACCCCATACAGTCTCACAGAGCAGCCACTTGTACCTGAAACAAAGCTGTTCTGTGCCTGAATTCTTGTGTGTCGTGCATTTGACTTGCTTACCCACGATGCCTGTTCTCGAGCCAGTGGCATCCGAGATGCTTTTGTGAATGAACTCACTGATGCCATTGCAAGCCAGACCCCCTGGATGGCTATTGAGTGTGATCTGTGGTTTCAGAAGCACCAGCAGTGGAAGTGGGGCTGACAGTAACACTAACGTAGTAGTTACCCATTAAACCTTTGGGATTGTCAGTCTTGGTGGGCCTGATGGGATTGCTGGCACTCCTGGAGACCACTGGCCTCTTGTGACTCTAAGGAGTTGGACGCTGGCGGGGATGAGAAAGATCAATGAATTTAGAAGAGGGATCACTCGCTCCTCTGAGGAGCTGGATAAGGATTTCTGACGCTGAGCTGTGACTTTGGGGATGGACGCACAGCTGTGGGCTCTGACAGCCCCTTGCCTGTGTAAGCAGCTGTGCGGAACAGCTGTGCGCGACAGCGGTGGGGTGTGTGTGATGGGGGGTCCAGGGCCGCGTGCGTTTGAAGCTGTGGGAGGGATCTCAATTAGGACGACTAAAAGCGCAGCTTTTCATACAAACATCAAAGACTGACAGGGGCGCGTTGGAAATGTCACAGCTAATTGAAGAGGGCCTCCCCTGGTGCTGGCTTGTAGAATTGTTCCGCTCACCCCCTGCCTCCTTCCCTCTGTCTCTCTTTCTCTCTGCCTGTTTATCTCAGCTTCTGTGCCGTCTCTCTATATCTGTCTTTCCCTTTGTCCCTGTCTCTGTCTATCTTTCCCTCTGTCCTTGTCTCCCTCTCTCTGTTCCCATTTCTGTTTCTATGTCTCCCCTGTCCCTATCTCTCTTACTGTCCCTTTCTCCCTCTCTCTGTCCATGTCTGTATCATTCCCCCTGTCTCCCTCTGTTTATCTCTCTGTCCCTGTCTAAATCTTTCCCTCTGTCCCTGTCTTTGTCTCTACAGTATTTCTCCCCCTGTGCCTGTCTGTCTCTGTCTCTCTCTACCCTATCCCTGTCCCTGTCTTTCTCTCTAGACCTTTCTCCTTTGCTGCCTCTCCCCCTCTGTCAGGTGTGTGAGGCTCAGGCTGTGTTCGGCACAGGCCCCTTCACTTCACAGTGAGCCTCTTGTGTGCTCCTTGAAGCCTAGTGCTGACTCCCACAAGCCCCTCACTGTCGAGGAGTTTAGTCCGAGCCCTGCAACTGCAGGCCACGCTGTGTGAACCCTCCTGCCCGGCTCCTGGGGAGCCACAGGCTTTGCAGGCTCTGTCCAGACAGACCACGTACACTACCAGAGTGGGAATCCCCACCACAGGGAAATTCACCAGGCCTGGCCTGGGGCGAGGGGTAACCACCTCCTTCCTGTGGTTAATTACTTCCCTGCCACAGGGGGCGCCGCACAGCATGGGGAGGAGGGGGGGGGGTGTGCTTGTATAACTGCATGACCTCTTTCCATTGCCTGCTGGGGTGAGGCTGACAGGACCCTGAACTAAAGGAGGCTCAGTTATGGGGGGTTATGTTTTATTGAGTAGAGTAGGAGAAGGGTGCACACGACATACTAGTACATATACGGATATATGCACACGTACAGCAGGGCTATAGTCAGTACAGTCAGTATTATTGCTTTAGTTCATGCAGCACTTTTCGGTATGTGTGTGTACTAGGGGTGTGGTATATAGAGCAGGTGTCGAGTGCATACAGTGTATGTACGCATCACATGTACAATGTATATGTAGGAGGTGTCCAGTATCTCTTCAGCAAGTGTACAGTGTGCTGTATATACACCACAGTTGTGCTGTGTATACAGTGTGTTGTGTACAATGTGTACAACAGTGGTTCCCAGCCATGCTCCTGGAATAACATAGACACACCCACAATAAAAGTGTCTCTGTGTCAAACACAGCCACAACAGGAGTGTCTCTGTATCAGACATGCCCACAACACGAGTGAAAGTATATCAGACACACCCATAACACGTGTGATTCTGTATCAGACACGCCCACAACACGAGTGATTCTATATATATATACTTATGCATGTGACTGCACATCTAAATGAGGGCAGTTTTGAACCTCAGAAAATGGTATGGTACTAATTACAGATACCATGTGGTCTTTTGTAAGAGTTTAAAGAGTTTTAAATCACTAATCTTCCCATAATTCAAAACTGAGTCAGTCAGCCTGTGATGAAGACCTCAGCTGATATACTGTAAAATTCAGCAGAGATGGTGTTCCTCCAGGACCAAGGCCTTGAACCACTATGTACAGTATGTAGTCCGGGTGTGTATGTATACTGAGAGGTCTTAAAAAACGCTACTGTTGGAACTGATAGTGTTTGTTGCTTTTGTAATTAGTGCCTTTCAGTACATATCAGTTTCTTTGTCTACGTCACTGATCTCATTCTTTATCTCTCAGCGCTTGGCAGCTGTGACCTGGAGGAGCTGGTGGAGCAACCCCTGGGTGAAGACAGCGGGTATAGTGCAGAGAGACGGAGAGAGGGGCACAGCGGGCACAGGTCTCTGCAGGAGCTCAGTGGCTACAGCACAGGATCACTGGGAGAGAGCAGCCAGAACAACACGGACTTACTGAAGCAAGGGCACAAGACAGGGAGAGAGGGACACAGTGGGTACAGCACAGCCAGGGAGAGAGAGGGACATAGTGGGTACAGCACAGCCAGGGAGAGAGAGGGACACAGTGGACACAGCACAGCCAGGGAGAGAGAGGGACACAGTGGACACAGCACAGCCAGGGAGAGAGAGGGGCACAGTGGGTTCAGATTTGAACAGAGACAAAGTGCGCACAGCCCCGGGTCACTAGGCAAGAACAGCTCTAGAACAACACAAATGTGGACACAGGGGCATAGTGGGACCAGCACCGCCAGGGAGAGAGAGGGGCACAGTGGGTTCAGATTTGAACAGGGACAAAGTGCGCACAGCCCCGGGTCACTAGGCAGGAACACCTCTAGAACAACACAAATGTGGACACAGGGGCATAGTGGGACCAGCACTGCCAGGGAGAGAGAGGGGGAGAGTGGGTTCAGGATTAAACAACAGCTCAGTGGACACAGCAGCGGGACAGAGGGCCTGCAGAGGGCCAGGGCAGGAGGCGGCAAGGAGGGGCTGGGTGGCTGCAGCTCAGTCCTCACCCCTCAGGGGCCCCCAGGAGTTGGTGGCCCAAGCCTGGAGCTCGACGAAGTGCACCCCCTGCTGGAGTGGGACAGGGAGGGCCGGCAGAGCGAGCTGCAGTACTACATCCAGCTGGTGAGGCCTGTCCCTGCCTTCCTGTCTGTCTTTTATCACTTTCTCTCCCTGTCATTCCATCTCTTTTGCGGTTTTGTCTGTCTCGTTCTGTTTCAGACTTTAGTAAGTCAGGGTGAAGTGTCCAGGCTGTTGATGTACTAACCCCCTGTCGCCCTGCCTCCCAGCTTCTGTATGTCTGGGTGTTTTTCCCTCTGTCACTGTCTCTGTGCAGTACACGCACCCTGCTGTAAGCGTATGGCTCTGGGGAGAAGTATTTGCCCCTTTTCAGATTTTCTTGTTCCTGTGTGGAACAGTTAATGTCCCCTCAGTAGCTGGTTGAACCACCTTTCGCTACCATAGCTGCAGCCAGACGCTTCCTGTAATCGATCCCTGTAAGGGATCAGTCTCTCATCTTGCTGTGTAGTACTTTAAGCCCCTTCCTCCGTGGCAAATTGCTTCCGCTCGGTAAGACTGGTGGTTTTCTAGCATTTATATATGTATGTGTACATGTCTGGAACTGTATATGTGTTACAACCCCCGTCTCTCTCTCTCTGTATGTCTGTCGCTGGCTGTTTCTGTGGGTCTGTGTAGTACAGTGATGTCTGCTCAGTAAGCGTGTACTGTATGTGTTATAACCCCTGTCTCTCTCTGTGTTTGTCTGTCCTTCGTTCTGTTTCTCTTTGTCTGTATGGTGCAGTAATATCTGCTCAGTAAGTGTATATGTGCTATTACCCCTTCTCTCCCTCTTGGTTTGGCTCTGTCAGTCACTCTGTGACTCATTAGTTTCCAGTCAATGTTAATGTACCTGACTATCTCAGGCCTGTCACAGTTTAATCCCTGCTCTCCCTGTCCCTCTGTCAGCTGTTGGACCGCACGCCTGGAGAGCCAGTGGACTCCGTGATGCCCGCACCAGGACAGAGAGAGACATCCACAGCGGAGGAGTCCCCAAGCAGGCAGACAGGTACAGAGCTGAGCTTTGCTTGCTCAGCCTGCTGGTCAGGTCTGCTGTCTGAAAGACGACGCATACTGACCAGGATGAGACACAGCCAGGGAGGACAGGCTCAGTGACCACAGCCTGGACATAGAAACTGGACACAGACAGTCCTGGCTGTCCAGGGAAAACAGGCTACACTCCCACTGTGAATAGGGAGGAACACAGAGAGAAATGCATTTTCTGATGCACTGGGAGAAATACTCCAGACAAACGTTCTTCCCTAAAAAACTAATCTAATCCCAGAATTCCCACTACTGCCAGAATCAGGAGCTCCCAATCCTAATGGGGGAGGAAACTGCCTCCCCCATTAATAGCCTGTCAAATAATAATAATAATAATAAGAATAATAATCTCTCCTCCTCACCCCTATTTTTCTTGCTCCTCCTCTCTGTGTCTGTCCCCTTCAGTGGATAGTGTCAGACCCCAGCCCACAGGACAGTCAGTGTCAGGACACCCTCCCCCCTGCCTCCACCCCTCCTCCAGCGTCCTCAAGACCAAACTACACTGCTCCCCACCTGAGACCAGTTGTGAGGCCGCTGGTGAGTCACACACACTGTGTCAGTGTCAGCAGTGTCACAGCCCTGTGTCAGTGTCTGCAGGGTCACAGTGCTGTGTCAGTGTCTTCAGTGTCACAGTGGTGTGTGTATGGTGTTTTTACAGGTCCAGTGGATGGTATCCTCTCCCCACAGCAGATTGGACAGCTCTCCCGCCTCCTGACGCAGTGCCACTCTCAACCCAGCAGAGGAGCGCCATCGTTGGAAGACCTCCTCACTTACCTCCGGAGCGTCGACTCTGCCAGGTGAGAAGAGAGGAGGCTCTTGATTGCGGTGGCATTTAGAATTGCATTTGGCCGCCTTTTATCATCCCTGGAAGCAGCCAGTGTTCACAGTCCCAGCTCCAGGACCTGGGACGGACTGATGGCGTCGCCAGGGCAGCCAGTACATTCATAGCAACACGGCTCATGGCTCTCTCTCTTCGCAGGTGTTCCCAGGGAGAGGGGGGGAGTGTATGTCTTCCGGCCGCGCGCAGATCCCACAGCCTCCAGTCGAGCCAGGGTGTGATGAAAGAGGCAAGTTGTTTTTCCAGATGTTTGGGGGACGAGCCGAATCGATGACAGCTAGCTATTTGGAATTGAGAGTGTACAAAAAAAAATTCTGATTTTAGGTTTTTTACAGGGTGGTGGGGACAGGATTGTTCAGACGTTTCCCAGTGAAAGCTGAGAATCTGTTTACGGTTTTAGGAGTGTTTGATCCTTGCCTTAATATCCAAACTGATATGTAATAAACAGTACTTGCAGAAGTATTGAGATCCTTCCTGTGGTGTCCCAATGATACATATATATTTATCATCATATTTCACTCATCATTCTGAAGATATCTAAGAGTAAGTCTCTACCAGCTCTGCACGCTGGCTTGGTGCCATTTGTGCCCTCTGTTCTTGGCAGATGTGGTCAAGCTCTCTCAGGTTGCTCGGGCATCACACACAGACAGCTTTTTTGAGGTTTTTCCCACATTCTCACTAGGATTCAAGCTGGGACTTTGACTGGGTCACTCAAGGACAGTTGCTTCTTTTGTTCTTAGCCAGTCTTGTGTAGAACTGGCCACCTGCTTTTGGTCATTGTCCTGCTGGAAGGTGTTTTGTCCCAGCTATAGGTCTGAAGCAGGTTTGCCTGCCAGGACTTTGCTCCATCTGTGTTCCCATCAGTCAGATGAGAAGCAGAACTAGAACAGACTGCTGCCACTGTGCTCGACAGTATGGTGGTCATGACCGAGTGATGCACCAAGTCAGGTTTAATGATAATGTTGCTTTATTAGCCCTATACAATTTCTTGCATTAGGAATTCATCTTTTCACATGCCCCAGCTTGCACTCCATGAGACACAGACACGGAGAGAAGCTTGGGGTCAGAGCGCAGGGTCAGCCATTGTACGGTGCCCCTGGAGCAGTTGGGGTTAAGGGCCTTGCTCAGGGGCCCAACGGAGTAGGATTCCTCTGCCGGCTGCGGGATTTGAACCGGCAACCTTCCAGCCACAGGCGCAGATCTTTAGCCTCTTCCCTTGCCAATCTCTCACGACCTTCCCGTCAGAAGCTTCCAAACCGGAGATGCAGATTCTTGCTGCTTTCTCTGTGGACTACTTCCAGGTCGCCTCTGGGTTCCACATGGCCTGTAGTGAGGTCGAGATGCCGGAGGGCGAGCCTTCCTCATTTGTCCGGAAATCACCTGAACCAGGATTATTGCAGAGGCCACTCAGCTAATTGTGTGGTTTGTTAAGTGCACCTAAATTAATTTAGGTTTACCATAGCACAGTGTTGGCATACAAAGACTTTTCCATTTTTCCTTCATATTAATCGTATACAGGAACAAGTAAAGGTTTATTCCACACTGAAAAGAGAAGAAAGGAAACACAACGTTTCGGCTGTGGAGCCTCGTGTTTCCTTTCTTCTCTTTTCAGCACAGGAATAAACCTTTACTTGCTCCTTTGCAGCCTACACCTGCTGACGCAGCCCCCTACTCGAACTTAATCGTATACATTTTCCTTTTTTTACTTTAAATGTGTGGAGTAGGTTGTGTACACAACCCATGAATTGCTGTTTCAAAACGCTGTGAGTACAAACTTTAAAGCAATAAAACAAGACTGTGCATGGGACTGAAGAAGTGCAAGGCACTGTATAATAATATCAGAATGAGGTTTGTCACAGCAATCAACCCACACAAGTGGAAACTATTAAAACGTGCATTTAAAACTCAGAAACGGAGGCACGTTTTTACACAAGGGGTGCTGTTGAGGCCGATACCCTGTCTTTGTTCAAGAAATGGCTGGATTTGAATCTGGATCACTTAGCTGCTAACTGCCTAATGGGCCAGATGGCCTGAATGCCCTCCTCTTGTTTGTGTTCAGGGCTAGAAGCCCATATCGGCTTAATAACCTAATTTACAGACAACAGCCCGGTTCTCAGGTCTGCTGGGCCGGAGAAGACCTGGAGTCCAGCCCTGCGCAGTCGGGTAGGTCAGTCCACAATTTCCACCACTGCTTGCTCTACTTGCTGTTACTGTTCTCCTGTGATCTGCAGGCACCACCAGCGCGTCGCGGCCCATCAGCTCGACCAGTAGGGGGCGACAGGAGCCAGAGCAAACAGGTCCGGAAGGCCGTAGCCCAGTCCAAAATGGGACAGCCCACCAGGGGGACAGTGTGGAGATAACAGGAGGCGCTGGATGGAGGGGGTGGGGAGTTTTTAAAGACCTTTTTTCAGTTGCTTGTTTTATAGAAATCTCTATTTTTTATTCATCTGCTGCATTAATTATTGATAATAGCTGAGCAAGTTGTAATTAAAATGTTAATAAATGTGATTTTTACTGAGAATAAGTAGACTTGTGCTTATTTCCTTATGTTTAATAAGAAGGAAAAGAGGCTCCTTGCGTGCGCAGTCCTTTCTGGGTCTCTATAACCACTCCATTCCCAGTCACAGTCGGAGAGTGAAGCGTTCCGGACTTGAACCCACAACATCCAGAGCAGGTGTCCTTTTCCTTGGTTTGTACGCACCTTGTTTGAGCTTTCGTCTGCATGTGTGTTTGTGTTTCAAGGCTATATTGGTCAACAAAATAATCTAGTTTTGATACAAATGGGTTGTAGCTGGTGAATTCAGGGGGAGTGTGAGAGGAGAGGGACAGCAGTGGCTCTAGCAGTGTCTACAGTACAGTCAGGTGTGA